CATTTTTTTGAACTCTTAATACAATTTAAAATAGTGTCATCGATTTTATGGTCTGCGTCAAAGCAACATCATCATGTCATAAACATGGAGAATTTGCATTTGTCGTTTACCGATAGCTAGTTAATCAAACTAGTGAAGTTTAGAGGGAGGAATAATGTCGATAACAATCATTACCTCTGGAACTTTCGACTACTAGTAAAGTTAGAAGTTGGAATAAATATCTCGAAGCATTCTCATCTGGTACTCTGAGTAACATCAGATAAAACGACACTTTTCATTATAAAGTAAGTGAAATAATCATGCCGTAAATAAACACAGAAAGATCGATCAAACAAAAATCTTCTGGAATTTTAGAGAGATCCAATGGTGGCATTGGTGCTGTTGTAATATGGATTCGTTTTTTTTTTCTTTTTTTTTCTGTTACGGTGACTCACAACAAATATGTCATAGAGCAGATGTAGTCAGGATAGAATGAAGAGGACGAGGTGTGCGACTGACTGACTGACCGTGCGAGAAGGAAGAATTCGAGGGAAGGCAAGGGAAGGGAAGGGAAGGGTAGGGTAGGGTAGAAAACGGGGATGCGTGTTGTGATTTCATTTCAATTTTGATGGCTTTTTCCATTTTACACGATAGTTATTGCCATGTAAGTTTGTGATAGCGATTTCCAAGCGTCTCGTTTCACCTACTACTTCCAGAAAGTGGCTGGGGATGATCTGAATAATCATTGTCTGTCTGATTAACAGTAAAAAGTTCACCTTTATTTTAAAGTTGCTAACTTCATATCAAAGTTTGTATGTGAAAATTCAGATTTTCATCAGATTTCTTCAGTAATATATCATCAGTAGTCTCTCTTACCAATTAAAATATTAAAATATGACGAATGATCTCTAAAAAAAATTTTTTTTAAAAAAAAAGATAAAGAGATAAAAATAAAAAGGTCACATCCAAATGAATAAAAAATAAGGACCATAATCACATGAACCAAATTAATCTTTAACGAAACAGAATTTGAAGGTCTTATAGAACTTGCAACCATTTTTTAAATATGTTTTTAACAGATAAGAAGGACAACAATGGATGACAGTTTATCCTCGAAGTTTTGAATTCGTAGAAAAGTGATCTCGGAAATATTTCACTTTCTTTTTTTCTTCACTTCATTTTTATCTTTTGTTGCTGTTTGAAATAAAGGTGAAAATCGAGAGTGAACGCATACAACCAATACATCCTTTCATGTCGAATTAAGGAATTCTGACAAATTTCCAAAATTTCTAGTAATTCAGCAAATCTAAAGAATACGATCATTGCATAGTGTTTAAGTTATAATAATTCCATACTGATTTGGCTACCAGTCATATTCTCAACAGTCATAATTCGGGCAGACGACGCATGAAGCAGACGACAACATACCTTCCTCCTTCTTAAATTATGAACATAGTTTTATGAAATTTATATTTGATCATTGACAGTGATTTATTTGTGTCGACATATTCGAAGAAAGCTGCAAGCACAGATATGGCTATAGTATTAAAGAAAAGCTTACTCAGATCTGATGAATGGATTATCGCATTGTCAATTATCAAAAATGTCTTTTACCCTTCCGGTAAATCCAATGATACTTCTGAATTATATTTGTTATGATTTTGTACAGCATACAATATTCTCAAAAGCAAAGTAAGTTATAAAAATTGTCAAAAATGATTTAAACCAAATATTTGGACACATGAAATAAATGAAAAGCTAGATAAATGACATATTAAGAAATTACTTCGTTAAAAACTACAAGAAAATTGAAAACAAAACAGAAATAAAAGGAAATATAATAATATCTATATAATTTTTCAAATTATTAAAAAGAAAGAAATTGAAAAATAAAATTTCCAGATTAAAATAGGAAGATATGAGCAGAAGTAGGATAGTGGTGAAAATCTATAGAATGTCGTACAGATCCGATCAATCTGTGATGATCGAGAGCACAGCTAGTTTTTAGCATCGCATGAGGATGTACGTCAATCGGTTTGTATGACAAAGAAGTAAAAACGGATTTAACTTCTCCGGCCTCCCTGTTGATTATTTGCTTAAAGTGAGAATGAATGATATGTTGCTGTCATAATTCGTTTACACTGAATTTTCTCATAAATGTGTCCAATCCCGATCATTTTAATTGCTAATTTTAAACGGGATATTATAAACTTTCTTAAACTAAAATAAAAATATAAAATACTTTCTTAAATCAAAATAAATAAAGTGCACTTTTAATGATCAGAAGAATGTCGTACAGATCCGATCAATCTGATGAAGTATTGACAATCTTCTGAACTCTCTCCATTATATTTGGTAAAAAGTGAAAGTGTCAGTAAATAGAATGCCAATCTGTTTAGTGGATAATATGCCAATGAAAATTTTTGTAATTCTTTTGAAATTATTTCAACTAATTTTTATACGTTGAGAAGGTTTAAACTAATTACACGCACAATTTTATACGTTGAGAAGGTGAGCTGTTAAGTTAATAATTATTAAAATTAAGAACAGTGATGAAGTAAAAGCCATGAGGAGTCATGAAATGAGAGGCAACACTATCAGAATTTAAACATTATATTGTTCACAATTATCTTTAATTTTGGCTGAAATCCGTAATCTTTTACTGCTGAACCTTTGATTAGTAAAATAAAAGTGTTTTTACCGTTACGCTAAAGAAGAATGCAAATACAATGCAGATTACTAATAATCTTTATAATATTTGTTTTTTGTATGCATTTCTAGCTTTTATTGTTTTTCAGAATAAAGGTCATGGACTGATATAGTATTTCGAGGAAAAAACAGCAGGAAAGTTACAGTTAGTCTAGAAAAGTGAAAAATATTGAATATTGTCAACATAAAACTGGTTGGGAAGAGTACAATTTTGATAAATTCAAAACATTGAATATAAATTTAAAATGGAATTATTGTTGTGATTAATCCGGAGGCAATTTCAAATTTAATTTTAAATCCCGAAAAGAAATGGTGTTCCAAAATTGAGTTTTGATTGAATAATTTGAAGCAATTGTAATTGAGAAATGGAACCTACAAATCTCATACATTTGAAAAAGATTAAAATAAACATAAGCAAAGCTTAACCGCATTTTATAAAATTTGAATTTATAGTACAAATGACTGCAGTAATCAATTTATTCCCTATTTAGAGCATTTAGTCGAAAATAATAAACTTTTAGTTTAAAAATTTTTTTTTAGAAAGAAATTGCATTTTTGCATCGAATAATTTGTTTTAATATCAAGGAGCGGTAGTAGCAGTGGAGAGGTGGTAAACTCCGAATTCATTTTTTCAGATAAGTTGTCTATGAGCTTAAGAAAAAAAGAACAACTGAAAATATGAAAACAACATATTACATCGTTACATATTTAATCAGAATCGCTCATCATTCAGTGCAGTAGGGAAGAGCAAAAGTCAGTTACGTGTCGGTGTTATCAAAAAAATCTAGGATATCCATGTTAGACAGAAAACCAAACAAATCAATATGAATGATCATGACTTAGAGAGTAAACAAAATATTTGGGAATGCATTAAAATGTGAAGAAATGCGTCGTCATTGCAAATTGTACGTACATTTTGAAAGAAACTCCATTGTTAATCAACCATCGATTAAATCACTGACAGAAAACGATTTGCCTCCTATTCTCTCTTTTTATTCAATTCTGCCTCATTAATTCTCTCTTTTCAATTCATTTGGAACATTTTAAATCAGACTTTCTAAATGAATTCGAAAACATTTCACAATGAAATACTTATCATCCTAAAGGAATATTTCAATTCTCATTCATCAATGGGAAAAATCACTGAATCAAAATGAAAAAGAGATTTTGTCCATCAGTACTTAAAGAATACTTGCAAACCAGCATTTAATAAAAATTCAAGAGTCATCAAAAGCAAAATCTACAGAATAATTTAAAGTCTAAATGAAAAAAAAAAAAAAAAAAAAAGAAAACAGGTAGTACTAGAATTTCTTTTTGAATTCTTTTTTAGAACTCTACTCTCTAGCTTGAAACAAAATATAATGATATAATGAGATGTAGAATTAAGCTTCAGATCTTCTTATTCATGAAGATCAACATAATGAGGAGTTTCGAATAACTGTTATCATTAACAACTAAAAGGATGTCAGTTTTTGCTTTTGTCCATAAAATCATCACGAGCTCATTTTCCTTTATGTTCCAGAAGACATCCTCTGAAGCTCACAAAATCATTTTATTTTGAATTGCCCACAATAAATCAGAAAAAACAGAAAGCAATTAAAATCAAACTACAAAATCGTAGGGAAATATATAAAAATACCTCCCCATTACAGTTAAATATTTTGCAATGATAGCTGTCAGATATTGACGGGAAAAAGTGATAAGACTCGAGAAAAGGGAAAGAAATAAACCAACGAGAAGTGTGTGACGTTGAAACATGCGGAAAGTGTCAATGTCCGTGTGGCAATTATTTGCAAGTAAACAGGTGACAGACAGTGTGTGCATGTTGATGATGTATAGTGTTTGTGTTACCTAGATTGAATGGTAAAGTACCGAGAATGATGAGATGAACGATGGCTCACCACTAGAATATTTAGTATCTCGGATGTTGCTGTCCCATAATTTCATCGTTCATTGCATGCAACGGGGATGCGAGGACAATCGAGATTAAAAATTCCGATAGGCGGAGAGTGGGGTAGAGAATTGTTGTAAAGTTCCAGGTTGGAACAGAACTGACTTTGTATGTTCTGTAAACTGAGATTGATTTGAATGGTTTGATTTTAGACAGCAGGGATTCCCCGAAGTGTCTTAAACTTTTGGTGGATTAAGTTATATATCTATTTAAACCTTTTGATACCTTAGAAGTAAGTGAGTTCATCATTAGCAGACTGGAATATTTTTCGGGTAGGTCATAGTCTTGGATTTTTCATTAGCATCATTCCTTTTGTTCTTTTATTGAACCTATTTGAATATTATCGATTTTGAAATAGGATATGGAAAAAGCGATCAATTCAATCGGTCCTAGTCAACCCTCTATCAAGAAGACGAATAAAACAACATTTAACAAGGATATTTCCAAAATTGATAGGCTGGTTAAACTGTATAAGGTACGTACGTGACTATAGTGCGTGTGTGTGTAATAGCATTAAGATGTAGTTAGAATAGATGTTATATTTCACACTTCTTCTTTGACTATTTGTAAAGAAACTATGAAGTGTGTGAAGCGATTACTTATTTACTTATGTCTGCCGTTCAACTGTTGTAAAAATATATTTTCCAACAGCATGAAGTCAGAGAGAATCAAATTTTGGAAGCTTCCAATGATTGGGTAGATAATGTTGTTAATCTTCTAAAATCATACGAACATAAGTGATCTAAACAACAAATAAAATAACTTGTTGAAGGTAGTGCTTTTTTTGTGGTGCTGTTGTATACTTTTTTAAAGTACAAATTTGTTTCTTAATTTTTTACTAAGGGAGGCAATTATTTCTTATATTTGATATATTAAACTTTGAGGTATTAGTGTACTTGTAGCAATTGAGATTGGCAATAACGAAACTGGAGAAACGTGAAGTATCTTTTGGTGAAGATTACGATGAACAATTTGAAGAAGCTTGCAACAGACGTCTGCTAAAACTTACACAGAAGCATTTACGTATACATAAGTATTTGGTTCGGAAAGGGATTTTTGTGAATGACACAGGCGAAACCATGTAAGTTATGCTTTATTTGTCTGTTATATTTATAGTTCCTACATTCGAATATTTTAGATGCAAAGGAAATATTTGTTGGAGGAAATGTTTCATTTATGTCAACATAAAGCATTTTCAAGAATTATTTTGTATGGCATAGAGCGATTGCTTGAGTTTTCTGTTTTTGCAACAAAATATTTTTGTCTTTTTGAGAAAAAAAAATGTTTTGTAGCTTTCCGGATGTGAAGCCAAAGCTAATGATAACTTCAACAGGTGTTGAAGATCTGAACATACTTTTGACTGAATATGTTAATCAAGAAACTGACTCTGAAGTTTTGGGCTGTAAAGTACGAATACCTTACAAGTAAGTTATCAAATCATTGCTTGTTTGAATTATTTTCTGAGAATATGTGGTATAAGCTGTTCCATTTTAACTCATTTGAAATTTTCAGACATGTTACTGTGAACGACGTGAAGATGCTGGTAGAGAAATTAAAGGAAACGAACAATCAACTTTTTCGAGATGATCCTTTGGAATTCGGTGAGTGTGGAATCTTCACAGTTGGAAATAATCAAAAGTTTACTGGCTTGTATTTTTTGAGTTTCAGCGTTTATTTCTAGATCAGTTGATTCAGAATATTGCATGCGAAGTAAATAAATTGGTGAAGCGGTTCATTGAAGATAATCACCGGATGGGTCTTGCCGATTGGGTGGTTTCAGGTATAATGAATATTTTAATTTAGTCTCATATCTTGTTTCGTTATTGCAAAATACCAGCTTACTCGTACTGCATAGCTTGTTAACTGCACTGAGCATGCATTCGAGTAATTTTCTATCCACATCCCGTTTATTCTTTATTGAGTTTTACTGCTGCCATCTTTTTCAGATCAAGCAAGTGAATGTGGAAATCTCCCTTCTACGTCAGCTGATGTAGATGCTATAGAAGATAGAGAACATTCGTTGAACGTTCCAACTTGGGATATTGCTAATATAGTAATTCTTTGAAAAGAAGTTAATAAGTAGTTGGTGATGAATACAAATGTAGGAAATATTTTTGATTTAAATGACTGTGTCCACTTCTTCAACCATAAAACATAGGATGCTAATTCTTATATCATATTTCGTTCGTGAATTATATTATGCAGTATTAGAAATTTTTTCTTTAATGATGGGTATTGTATAAAAAAGTCATGACCTGAAAATGAAACAGGTATAAATCAACTAAATAGTAATTTATGAAAATTGTTATACAGTGATTTCTTACTATGCAGAAAGTGTTCAAATAGAATTTATGCTTTATAGGAATTGCATGAGGCATGTGGTCGAGGCGAACTGGACTGTCCGGAACCTGAAAGCAGTGGCGATATAGATGATACTGAAATGTCGCCGACCGCTGATGAGGAGGAAGACGGAGAGGAATGCGAGGATGACACTCAAAATAGTGTATCATTTTGTTTTCATTCAGAAAATTTCTTTGCACGTGGTTTAAATGCAGTTCATTACCAATTCATATTTGTTGACATCTTAGGCAAACTACTAGATCTAATTGCATCGAGGACATGGATTGAACATTCTTTTAATTTAATTTAATTCAAATAGCTCTTAAATCAGGTTTAATTTTTTCCAGAATTTCTAATTTTGTATGTGGCATCAAGTAGTTATTGTTCTGTAGGCTAATGAAGATATGGAGAATAAAAATAACAAGTCTGATGACAGTTGCTGCATTGTTGAAGAACGAGTACATGGAAAGGGCGAGAGAAGTGACGACAGTGATTGCTGCATAATAGAAGGTGACGAAAAGGCGATTTTAGAAAGTTTTATTAACGAAGATATCGAAAACAAAGATGCACATTCAGTGAATGATGCAGATCTTTCGGAAAATGGAAAGGAGCATACGGAATTGGATGGAATAGTTAATGATGATGACGATTGTTGTATTATCGAGGACTAATATTGGTATTTGTTGTATCACATTATTAAAACAGTATTTAACAAATTCTTAAAAACTGGGTTTGTTCTTATTAGAAGTTCTATCCCGTTTTCGTTTTCTCCAGTTCCTTCGGAAAGTTTTTTTTTTCATTTTAAAAGCTCGTTTTACAAGGTGTGCCAATCTGCTTTTGAGAACTCCATAATAATTGTTATTGTGTTTTGTCAGTCGTAATTCCGGACTGTTAAACTGCAAAAGTAGATTGTATTAAAAAAAATTTTAGCGTTATTTGTAGTTTATTTGTATTCTGATTACTATGGCCTCTTAAGTTTCTAAATTTTTGTAAAATAGACAGCTTTTGCCTCCACCGATATACTTTCCCACGTTTAAAATTCTATTTCGATATCAAAAACGATTCCATCAATTTCTATTAAAAGTAAGGAGATCAGTCTTATTTTCCTTATTGTATTGTTATAACATGTATCTTTATGTTAGGGTTTGAAGAGTAGTAAAAGGCTGAAAACATTTTATCATCCTGTTACATCCATTGGAAAATATCCTGCTGAATGAGTTTTCTGTTACTTGCCGGTGATGCTTAAACAAAAATTGTCTTTTTAGCTTGTTACATATACCATGTACATGCTACGTTAAATATGATTACTGAATGTTGACAATTGACTGTTATACGTCCTGTTAAGGGTTTAAAGATCCTGTTTTTCAAAATCTCGTTGGATGAGTTTTCTCATTGTTTGAAAACTTACGTAAGAGTTGACTCGAAATCGTTTAGGCTTTAATAGAACTGATGTTGGTGGTGCCATTGGGAATTCGTCAAGCAAATTGTTCTCCTTTTTTAATAAACAATTTTTTATGGAACAAGTAAACATTGACACATCAATGATTAAAATACACAATTTAATGGTGGAAATGGTGAAGATGATGACAAATGTGATACAGTGTGAATATATAAACATAAAATGATTATTCGGTGATCCATTCATTATTTAAATTTCTCCTTCAGGTTTTTTTGGAAGGATAAAGTACTCCAGAACTTTCATTGGTACCAACTTGTTTCTTTTTATTGAGAGTTGTGTTGATGTTTAAAAGAGTTTAATCTTCATCCTAGGCCTATTGAGTTCCTCGTAGCATTGTCGTGTAGAATAAACTGAAAGAAATTGATTAGAGAAGAATGGATAAAATTAGGAGGAATTGAAGTAATTATGATTAAGAATTTCTCGTTTGGCTTATGAGATTTATTGAAGAATTAAATTTTACCTTAATTTTATTAAGAAATTATCTTTTGCAGCACAAAAATGGTACTGTAGAACGGATTATTCTTGGAACATAATAAATTAATTTAGCAAAAGTGTTGTTTAGTTTTAATATTACATAGTTTATCAATTTGCGTAGTTTTTTGGTTAATTTACTTCAATACCATCATTCCATCTACATTATTTTTGATTAAAATCATCTAAGTCAACTAATTAGTACCATCGAGTTCCAATTAATTTAACATCTATTTGGAGATACAAAATGCTTCGCCATCAACTTGCAAAGTATATTCATTCATTTCACATATAATATTTTTTGAAGAAGTTCAACACATAAGAAGCTAGCGCTACATATGCCATAAGATGGCAATGATCTTTTGAATATCGTTGAATACACATCGGTTACTTCAAACCGATTTACTTTAAGAGAGTATCATTAACATTTCGAATGTCTTAATGAACATTTTGTGTTCCATATGCTTCCAAAACATAGCATTAGATTTTTTTTCGCATTTATCTTCAATGAAAAATGATACATTCAATAGAAAAAGGAAATTATTATGGATTGAGTTTTGTTTAGCTTAGATTTTGTGGGACTCAATTGAGTGCTTTCAAGTTTCGAATTATTGCTGATATATTTAGATTCAAGTTTAAATTGCAGTTTAGTAATATTGTTCGATAGATTTCACGTAAGTGCGATTTTTTGAGCTTAGACTGCAGATGTGATAGGATAGAAGACAATAATGTACATTATTACCGAAAGAGGAAGACATAAGGTAGAGCAGCTGCTTCCTACAATATATCGCAGATGTAAAGTTAGTTACTCTCTTTCTCGGTCACTTCATTTATATTTTAGCAAATTAATTTATCGAAAAAAGAAAACTTTATTCCAATTTGGCCTTTTTCATGCATCTTTAGTTAACTTGAATTGTTGAAATTCAATACATTATCGTACTGTTTTAATCATTTCTAATTATTTCGCTTTCAAAGTTTTCTTTTGATACGTTGCTAAACAGAGAAAGGCTTCCGAGATAACGACACTTTTCAATCAATAAACGCTTCTCGAAATTGTAATTTGGAAGGGAAAAGATTCACATTGAAGGATGATATTTCTTTTCATTAATAATGTCAATTTCTTTAATTACAATGCAAGAGATTGACGATTAAGGGTGATGAATGGACGTTATCATAGTTAATCTTGATTATTTCATTTATTTAACGAATGGTACCAAGTATCAGTTAAACAGTATCTTTTCTCCAAACAAATTAAGCTTACTTCTATACTGTGTCTCCTTGGCTTACTTATATTTCCTGGGATATTTACCGCTTTGTACTGCTCATTTGATATGTATTAAATCTCTCTCATGCAACCATGTTTTCCTGTTTGGTTGCATGGTAGCAATATTTACTCTTCTGATTTCAAAATAATTTTATAATTATCGAATTATTACTCTTCTTAGGCAATTTCCATTGTCCAGATATTATGGCTTTTGCTGCAAGATGCTGAAGTGAAAATATTGCATTAAATTATATATGTAAGCTCCATCTTGTTTGAAGGCGTTATTCAATTAATACGTTTTTAACACCGTTGATTTGCACGGCAAGATCAAAGAGGAAGTTATTGAAGATAAAATGAAGAAAGTTGAGGTGTAGAAGTAAATAATGTTCAATTGGCATAATGTGAAGTTGTGGATACCTGGAAAAATAGTACAACTTTTGGAGAAGTTCGGGGAAAAAGTGGTAGGGAGTTTTGAGTTTCCTGTATGACTGTATCGCTTAAAAAGAAATTCTCCCATGGCAAACAAGCATTTGAGTTTAAATCGACGACGGCACCTGCCTGCCTAATATATTTGCCCCGTTGTGCCGTAGTAGCAATCTAGAAGGGTAGACAAAGCAGAATCTAATAGGAAGAGAAGATAATTAATCATTAGGATGGGAAATTAAACCCCTCGCACATGTTCCTCCTTAAACTTACGAATTTTCAAAAAAAAAAACTACCCCAGTTTGGTCATTTCAACTAACTCTCATCAAATAGAGCTCATGTCTTTGGTAATGTGTAACAAATATCAATCTATAATACCTTGGAAGTCTTGATTTTTTTAATCAAATTCAATAAAAAGAAAAAAGTTAAATCTCTTAATGTACCTGATATGTGCATACACTAGAAGTATTGAAGTCTTTTAATCTCTTGACCTCTTTGCTCCTATTAAATAATACTTAACACTTTAGTTAATTTAATTCTTGTTATCCAATGAATTTGTTTGTGAAGATAGAATTAACAAGTTTTCGTGTGAATATGTAATAAGAGAAAGTAAAATAATCCAAATGAATTCCATTGAGAAGAGTGAATGTTGGCTGCTAGGAATTTGCACATGATCTCTACTCTTCACTTATTTATAAGAAAATTTGTATCCATACTGTTGACTGTCACACTTATATCATATGCACCTGCTTCTCACAGTTCCTTTTTCCCATTTTATTAGAATTATTAATTAGTGCTTTCCTAGTATCTTTGCTCATTTGCGCTTCTGTGAAAATTATGAGAGCAATCTTTTACAAATGTTCTATCAATAAATAGTGACGGGATAGTTGGAATGATTGGTTACTACATAAAACAGTTAAACATCCTTTTCACCATAGAATGATTGGAAACATAACAAATTTGTTTATAATTTGTGAATATACTTCAATCTGATTTTAAAGTGGGATGATTATAATATGAAGGTTAAATTGGTAATTGAAGATGGATATTGGCAAATAAGATAAGAAATTTTTATTTGTATTGGCATAAAAGACAAAATGTTACTTACATATATGATTATTATGACAATCAATTACAAAAATTTTTGCCTAATAATGTAAATCTAGAATTTTTGATATATGTATCTAATCTTGGTGTAAACTTAACCAGTTTTAAGCTTTTCGAAAAAGCCCATCATATTTTTTCTCTATTTCCATCTTTAAATACATCTATGGTTACGCGAACAACAGTGTAATTTCATTTTATTGAAAAAAGTGAAGTTTGAAGATGTTTAAATTGATAAAATAAACTAAAAAGATAATCACAAATATGTTTAATTTGCAGTTTTTCAGAAAAGTTCTGCTCATTTTTTCGGTTTCTTCATTTTCCGCTTCATTTATACAACTTTTAAACATTTGACCGTAGATGAAACCCAATTTCTGTCACTAATACAATTTGTTGAATGTTTCCAAATACCATAAAATGATGCCTCAGTTATGGTTCATCTAAGAAGAGTTACGGGATTTCTTTTTTTTTCTTATTGTTAGGACGACTCAAAGCCTTTGCATTTTATAGTTTCTTAGGAATTGGAAACTGCACTGGAGCCTTATCGGGCGATGCAGACAAAGATGATATCAGTGATTAAGTGATAAGTGAAAATAATATTCTCCGCTTGTTTAATCCCTTAATATTTTTTCTGTTCTGAATGACATTTCAGAAAAATATGCAAAGCTGATGATGGATGAGGAGGTTTAGTTGGAAATTAAATGGTTGTACGGTGAGACTGGCTGAGAATCAAGAACGATAGGTCCCTGCTCGGATATTATAATTTATTGGAGTTGGGATTGTGGTGCTGGAGAAATTTATGTGAATTTTTATTCTTAGTGCTCCTTGGCTAAGACTGAAGAATTATCCGGTATGAAAGCATGTAATATACTGTGTTCCGTCAAATGGGCAGCAATTTTCTTTATCAGTTTTGGATAATTTTTTGAAATAGTGGCAGTGATGGGAAACAT